TGAGAGAAAGAGACTTCCTCATGACCTTGGACCCCTTGCAAGTCCTCTGGGACCATGCAGACCTTTACTCTGTGGCTCACTCCAATAGGGTCGTTGATGTAGCCATCATAATTCTCGTCAAACATACCAACGATGCTCCATCCAAGATCTGTGCGAACACCGTATCGTCCATCACTGGTTGACGAAGGTATCACATCACGAGGCATAAGAGCCTTAGAACAGTCATAACCAATCAGTAGTCCTATCTCACATCCCTGTTCTGCAGGAACCTCATACTGTAGCTTACTCAGATGGGGAATGGATGCTGCCATATCCGACGTGGGAATATGGTTCCGATTTGCAGGTATGATCTTCCTCGTGAAGGCTGGAGGCAAACAAATCTTGTTTTTGCCATCGTAAGATGTAACTTCCAGTTCCTCTACTTTGATGCTAGATACTTTCTCATTCACTGCTGACATCGTTGAGAGTCGTAAGTTAACTGAGGTACCTCTCAGTCCCATTGCTTGCTTGGTTTCATCCAAGATGAAAGTAGTATCTGATTGTGTGTCCAAGAGTGCGTAAACAAGTCTTGGCTCGATAGCAGAATGGTGTGACAACCACACTGGAACTATCATTGAGCTTTTGAGAGTTTCTTTACCATTGCTTCGTTTTGAAGTGTGTGTGCTTGATGATCTCACTTCGTCTTGGGTTGTATCTTGATTTGATGATTCATTTAAAGAATTAACCTTTACCCAGTCTTTAACGTGGAGTGCTGTTGGGTGTCTCCTTTTACACTCCTTACAAGTGCTTCTCTTCTTGCATTCATTTGATCGATGGCCAACCTTTAGACACCCATAGCACAAGCCCTTTTCAACGATAAATTTCTTTTTCTCTGCCATCTCCCATGTTGAAAAGGTAGGGCACTCTTCTAAGGAGTGGGACTTCTTGCAGAGCAAGCAGGATACAGTCCATTGCTGCTTTCCATCACCCATTCCTTTCTGATTCCTACTGCTAGTAGCATCAGTTGCTAATGTTCTGACTTCTGATGCTGCTGCATTTACTCTCTCGTATCTTAATTCCCTCAATCCATAAACAGAGGTGATGGGACAACAAGCAATCTTTGACTCCTCCTCGATGAAACCGGCAAAGAGCTTGAAAGGGGGAAAGCCGCCATAGCTGTCTGCCCAGTGATAGGCCTTCCTGGACCAGCGTACAACTAACCATTCAGGTAACTTGGTCAGGATCTTACGAATTTCTCTGTCGTCATTCAGATGATGGAGGTTCTGAATTTTGTCCATTGCTGTTACACACTGCCGTAGGAAATCAGAGAACTTCCTCAAACCAGGTGCATCCTTTGTGGCTATTCGAGGCCACCTCTCTATCTTGTCTCGAAAGGCTTTAGCTATGACAAAGGAATTTCCGTAACGTTCTTCCAAAGCCTTTCTGGCATCATGATATGCTATTTCGTTGTCGATTAAAGCATATCCTTTCACTAGTTCTAGGGGTTGACCCTTCAGGTACTTTTCAAGGTAGAAGAACCTGTCCATAGGCGTGATGCCACTGCGATCAATTAAAACGTCGAAGGCGTGTTTCCAACCTGGATACAAGAGGGGATCGCCATCAAATGCGGTCGGTTCAGGTAGAGGCAATCTTGAGGCTCTCAACTGTTCTGCAAAGAGAATCAAAGGATCAGTGGGTGGAGTCTCGCGAACAGGTGGGTCAACAGGTGGGTCAACAGGTGATGATTCGTCTGGAGTGACTGCTTGCCTCAAAGATGCCTCATCGCTTCTTTCATCTTCCTTTAGAACAATCATCCTTTCAAGAGTGCTTTTCATGATTGAACTGTGTTCTTTCTCAACTTCCTCTAATTTGTCCTCACTATCATCAGCTATCTCGGAGGACAATCGTAACTCAGCGAGGTTCTCTTGCCCATTGATGACAGTGTCCATCAGTACTTGTAACCCATCTCGAAGAGCCTTGACGTCAGAAAAACCAACATCATCTATTAGTGCAGCTCTTAGCTTGTTGGCCTTACGTCGCCAGGAGGTCACACTGCTTCTGAAGTTCTTAGTCTTCAGATCGAGCTGGTATTCGATGCTCCTTTCTGTAGGGACTGACTGTCGCTTCTGCTGAGCAGGTTGTTCTTCAGTCATGATTAACAGGTGTCTCTGTAGCTTCCCAGTCTCGGCAGAAACAAGGAATCTTCTGGTAGGGATTCACTGTGGAAGAGTTTTCACTGTAACTGTTGTCGATCACGAAAACCCAATAAATTCAGTCAGACACAAGCTTTTACGGGAGTTGTCAATCTTTATTTTACGTCTCCGTATCCATCCGTGTAACTCCGTGAAAACTGTATGACAAAGACAAAATTGCAAGCATAATAAGTAAATATGCAAATGAATCTAACCACAACTGCAATGCTTCAATACGTTATCAAATAAGGAAATGAGCATTTATATCGATTACAGTTTCGATCGATCACAGAATCATCTACGCAAAATAATCTTGGCTATAAACCCTTGCCAATCGTTATAATCATTATGTCATACAATTCACAAGGCTTCTATGGCTCCTTGTAACTTGACAGCCTAACTAAATTGAATCAACTCCAATAACGAAAGAATAATGACTTTATATTGCCCCACATATGCCTTTCTATGTAAGTAGAAAGTGTAGATCCTTCCAGACCCTTCCTTGTAAACTTCATTTATCTTTGTCCTAAATTATCCTAATCCAAGTACTTTCATAACTATGATAAATGAAACCTGTCTCATACAGTCATAAGTCATATATATCAGTCATTACTCTTCACTTTATCCAATATTTCATAAATGAATTTACCGTTCTACGTAAATTCCTACACAGTCGCACATTACACGTGTACATGAACGTATCGCTACATACAGCCAGACTTGGCTTTATATCCAAATTAATCTTCATAATCCTTTACATAACAGCACTTAATTGCAAGCAAACATCATATATATAAATATACTGACCTCTGTGCCCTTTTGTGAACTGAATATCCCTCAGAATACGACTTTTGACAAATCAAAACATTCGGTAACAAACAAACTCAGCTTGCTCCATCGAACCAAAAATCAGCTGCCACTAGAGGGCGACAAATTTCTGAGCAAGTCAACGTCATCTACATGTATTATTCTTATTAAATCGGCGCCTTCAACTGCAACTCAAAGTAAAGTTGCATGCGTTTTCAGCGAGCTGCGCGAGGGACTTGAGAAACTGCCGAGTGGTATGGTAGTGGCAAAAAAAGAAAAAAAAGGAAAAAAATCCAAAAATCCAAAAATTAAAAAAAAATCAAAAAAATTCAAAAAAATTCAAAAAAATTCAAAAAAATTCAAAAAAATTATAAAAAAACATGGCGTCCGAATACTCGAGTATTCGCCTGTGAGCCTGGGAGTGTACTCGGGTACCTCATTACACTTTTGTGCACAGCCCTAATGTACATGTATATTGTGTGGGAGAGAAGGGATCCTTTTACAACCAAATTATCCATTGATCAAGCAACAATAGACCTGACCTTCTGAACATGAATCATTGAATGAACAAAGCTATACCAAGTTACCCACCCATGAACAATACATGTACATGTACATGTACATGTACATGTACATACCCAGACGTTTTGTGTCCAAGACAGGTTGTGTGTTCGGACAGCTGAAGTAAAATGGCAATTTGAAGAAGTTTACAAGCAATATCTCGTAAATCTTCGAACTCTTATGTTGGGCAATATTATAAAGGACAAATAATATTTATGGTGGTTTAAAGTGCTATTTGATGAATATTTTCTGTTAAATCCGATGGCAAAAGAGAAGTCTTTAAGTTTGTTCAGTGTCCGGACATCCATCCCCTCATCATACACTTGGTGTGAACTTTTGATCGAATACAACTTTTATTAAATTGATGATTTCAAGACTTCGCTGTCTTAAACAGACGTATTGTATGAATTGCAATCATATTATTAACCCGGCTTTAGCCGAGCTACCATAAAAAGGCACTCAAGCATTCAAGCATTTTTTTCCTACCAGGTACACAAATGTACATGTATTAGTGCGGCGGCGGGACTTGAACCGCGAACTACCGTACATGCAGATGTGTTCCACAGTCTGGTGACGTACATCCACTAAATCCGATAATTTGAAAATTATCCATTTTTTTCCTCTTTTGAGTTTCAAGATTATTTATGTATCCCAAAGGGAACCCCCTGTCTCTACAACCGAGAGACAGGACAGTGTCTTGACGGTGTCGTAGCATGGACAGGTAACCTACAGGATACAAAAATCTACAGTTTGTTAGTTTTTTCCTTTTTCCTTTTCATTTTAATTCGTTGTTTGAGTTATTAAAATTAAAAAAGATAACATTGGAAAGAGAATTAAAAAAAAGAGAGAAGCCTATAATTTTGTATAACTGTTTATACTGTTGAGAAAGAAGGTGTTGGAGATTATACTTTTATAGTCAGTTCTTGACTGCTTTCCATTACAATTACAACAGCAAAATACAACAGCACCTCCCACTCACTCTCAGCCAGCTCAGCTCAGGTAGTTTGCAGGGCCGGGTAAGTAAGGAGGAAGATCATTACATGTAGCTAAAAGTACTTCTAACAATGGTTTTAAAAAACATTAACATTAACAAATGATGATTTAAAGTAGCACACAGACTCAGCACACAACCTCAACTGCTTGCAAGAATTTGCAAGCCTAATGCCAATGCAATGGAGGCAGGTGGCATGGCACTAGCAAAATGTAAACTCATTCGTGCCAGTCACCACCTACCGCCAAACGGAGCTGGGTGGAGTCCGCACAGCAAACAACGACGCCTGACTGTGTGGGGTGGGAGCTCGCGCTAATCCGCTGCCGCCGGTCTCTTCGTTCTCACAATTATTCTCACAGAAACACGGCCATTTTAACAGTTTACACACCTAAAATCCATACGTTAATTTCTAAAATGCAATTGGTAACTATGTTATATACGTTGGAATAACATTCAGAATATCATCTTACCGTAAAACGTGAATCTTCCGTGCAAATTTGTACTCAGTTCGATATGGGTGTAAGTCCGTGGTTGCAGGCCGCCCAATTACTCGCATTCAAAACGACAACTAGAGCTAGCTACAATATGCATTCACGTCACTAGCGCAGGGGTCATATCGTTTCATGTCAACGAAGAGTTCGCATTGGCAGTCTTCACACAGGGGGTAATAATAAATGAGCAAAGCATTATTTTACATTTCTCATGTCTAAAAACATAGTATCAATCTGCACGATGTCACAGGATCACTTTCCACTTAATTTCCGTCTTCCATTATTCTTGTGTTTCTCATATAAGTTTAATCGTTGGAGGTGATAATGGGACGCTGAGAGGAGGAGGATGATGGTGATGAATGATGATGCTGAGTGGTGGTGGTGATGGGCGTGGTGGTGGAGATGGGCGTGGTAGTGGTGTTGGTATTAATAATGATCATGATGATAGCGATGCTGAGTGGTGGTGGTGGATGAGATGGTGGTGGCCAAGTTAATTTTAATATTGATCATGATGAAAGTGATGGTGATGATCATTATCATGATGATGATGATGATAATGATGGTGATGATAATTATATTATAATGATGGTGATGATAATTATATGATGATGATGGTGATGGTGATGGTGATGGTGATGGTAATTATGATGATGGTGATGATAATGATGATGGTGATGGTGATGGTGATGGTGATGGTGACGATGGTGATGATGGTAGTGATGATGTTGATGATAATGATGATGGTGATGATGATGGTAATGATGATGGTGATGATAATGATGATGGGAAGATGATGATGATGATGATGATGATGGTGAAGATGATGGTGATGATAATGGTGATGTTGCTAATGATTGCCATAATATTGATGGTGGAGATGATTATGATAATGTTGTGATGACGACGATGACAATGATGATGGTGTTGATGATTATGCTGAAGACGATGGCCATGATGAATAATGTTTTTTTGTAAATTACCTGAAGCCGTCTAACCTCAATAGACCATTTCAAAATCTTAAATATGACGTATTAGGCCTAGGCCTATATAAAATCATGAACTTGCGAAGGAAGGTATGTCGACATTTTTTAGATTCTTTAAATTTTTTAGTCGATAGGTAATGAAATTATTTATTTTCAAACAGTGATGAGTGGTTTGAGTACAGTAAATAGCACAATTTATATGACAATTGCCAACTTAGACTTTCTCTTCATGTTATAATTTGATGAAACTTATTTCCTATAATACTATTCACAATTTTCTTCATCTCCTGTGTTCTCTCTATCATGCTGGGTTTGATGAGTCATCCAGTTAACCATTGTAATACGGCTACGGTAGCCTAATGAAACATAATTCTAGCAGGAAGGGGAATCTGTCAATACCCGATCAGAGTATTGTCAAGATGGACCCCTCTCCCCTGCGAGAACATCAACAAAGGTATTCTCAATTAATTTTTGAAGTTGTGCGGATGGGGTGAAAATGAGTTGAAGCGGGGCAGGGGGTGGGGGAGCTCACCATTTATTCACGTATGGCAATTCTCACAATTATAATATTAGAATAAATAGGTCAACAACAATGACAAAAGTAAACTGGTAGAATAACAAAATAATGCATCTTTTTTTATTTTCTTTCTCTCTCTCTCTCTCTCTCTCTCTCTCTCTCTCTTTATATGTCCCCCCCCCCCTCACTCATTCTCTCAGTCTCTCTCTCTCTCTCTCCCTGCTCTCTAAAAAAAAATCGAGTGATCACGGACGTCACTCCTCTGGAGAGTGAAAATGTAGTGAAAATAGAGTGAACATTCACTCTTTTCTCCTTAGAGAGCACTCTAAAATCAATCGGTTTTCACTCCTAAACAAGTGATCACGGACGTCACTCCCAAGAAAGTGAAAATAGAGTGAAAATTCACTCTCTTTTTTAAAGAGAGTGCCCCCTCTCTCTCTCTCTCTCTCTCTCTCTCTCTCTCTCTCTCTCACTCTCTCTCTCTCTCTCTCTCTCTTTCTCCCTCTTTCTCACTTTTTCTTCCCTTTCTTTCCACTTTTACCCTTTCTCCTCCTTTCACCTCTTCCTCCTCTTCCTCCTGCTTCATACCCTTTCCCCCACCCTCCCTGCGCCTCTCCCTTTTTTCCCCTCATCGTTTCCTCTCGGAAGTAATCATTTTAGAGCCATCATGAGAAAGAACCCAATGCCCCATCGCGAGATGAGTAAATTAACCAAAAATATGAAAAGTTTCTGATATCCCGCCAGGTATTTCGTGAGAGATTGTAATCTTTGCAGAAAATAGATGATGTAAATATTTAAGATTCACGCAGAGGTTCCCTGTGTGAAATCATCATTTTGTTCGTTATATTCTCATTACTATTTCATGGACAGTCATTAGCAGCAAGGAAGTTTGGTCTATTTTATCTATTTGTTTTGTCGAATATATAATGTATGCCTCAATGAGTCAGTATAAAACCGTTCCTAACTTAGTGAATGACTGAGAGTCTTCACAAGAACGTCAATTTTCGATCACATGGATAATATTTTGTAAATTGTATTATCGGAAAAATGAATATTATGATAATATGATAATAATAATATACTAAAGAAAAACATAGTGTACGTTTCTTTTATTAAAGCCCCTTTAAAGTGTTGGGAGCCGCAAAAATTGATGGCAAAATTTCACCAAAACTGTATCATAATGTGAAAGAGGATGTAATTTAAAACACATTTCTGCAAGGATTTTCAAAACGAATGTGTTTGCAGTCGAATATTGCTGAAATAATACAAAATTTAGTTTTTCTGCATACAACAGAAAACCCAAATGATGTTTCCGTTTATCAATATTTGTCTTCAAACCCTACAAGGGGAAATCTTTGCCAATTTTGTGTGCCTATACATCCTTTTTCACATTTTGAGGCAATTTCAGTAAAATTTGGCCTTCAAATTTTCTCGAATTTGGAGCTCCCATACACCTTAGAGAGACTTTAACCACTTTTAATTTCTATCGTGTATATTACAGTCATTCCTCGCTGCCAGAAGAAATTATTTCTGTTGCTGTTTTTTTTTTGTTTTTTTTTTTTTTGGGGGGGGGGGTTCTTAGAATTTTAGAACTGGAAATTACTGGTTGATCCTTCATTACTAAAGGAAAAGATTGTTACATTATGATTATTTTGAATAAATAATTTGTAGATGATTAGTCCCATATGACTAAATAAGATATTTTGTATACATGTTCATGAGTGTGTTTGATCTTTTTAACAATCTGTTGTCTATAAGTGGACTGATGTCATGCGCATAACATAAGAATGACGGTTCAGACTTCAGATGTGTCTATCACCTTATTACAAGAGCGCCAGCTAGCGGACAATCTTTTTCATGAACACAACTTTGGACGTCAGGAACCTTGTTGAAATGTACAAACATGCCAGTAACTAGATAAATCTGTGGGGTTACTTATGGGGATATATTACATGCCCTTGAGTTGATTTCGTTTAAAGTCTTAAAGGTAAAAACCAGTTTTAGAAACGCCCCCCTCTCAAAAAAATGAAATGGAAGCTCTTATTACCAATCATGTGAAAGAATATGTTTTGACTAATACGTGATGATAACAATTTTGCCGGGAAACCGCCTACTAAATGATATAGTTTGTAAATTATTATATCTATCCGGACTGGATAGATATCGCGTATAGATCCATATACATCTTTCTGTGTACAGTGCTTATAACTTTACCAAGACTGGGCCAAATTTCTTATCATTTTGATGATTCCAGAACCTTGCAGTACACACCATTATGCTATATGATCAACCTTTTCTGAACGATTCCACAATGTTTCTTTTACAATGCAATAGTTTTAAATAGTTCTTAATTTATGCCCGCACAAATAAACTACACCGCCCATTTAAACCGTTATCACAATCCTATATGCTTTCTTAAATCTTTGTCTAAATAAATACATCAAACAGCATAACGACTCTCTAAAAGCGTTTATCTTTTGAAGTTTTAACGGCTCTGGAGAAGATGATTTGAGGTATAGATGAGAGAGGAAGGGAGATAAGGGAGGTAAAGAGAAAAAGAGAGAGAGAGAGAGAGAGAGAGAGAGAGAGAGAAAGAGGAGAGGGGGAGAGAAGATTGTTGAGATTGAGGGGAAAGAGAGAGAGAGAGGGGGGGGCGGGAGAGAGACAGAGAGTAGGAGAGAGACTGAATAGAAAAGACAAGAGAGATGTTGTGCCATGGACCTACCCTTTTTTTTAAAAATAAATAGAACTGGGGGGGGGGGGGTAAAAGGCGACGAGAGGTGAGAGAAAGCGCGAGGATGAAGATGGGAGAGAGGATGGATCATGGAGGAGATTTCCAAACTTCCTGACAGTTTATCAGGTGATTATAAATATTTGCTCGCATTCTATTCAATTTACAAAGAGATTTGAACACTTTCTCCGTTGCTATCTGCTGGTGCAATCAAACTAGCCACATACCAAAACATCCCCAACTTCCTCTGCAAGAGAGCGATTTATTGTCTTTCAAGTTCGCTTGTGTATTGACAAAAAATCTTAACGCGGCGCAATCGCCGCAAAAATGAGATTATGGTGAGCTACCAATGCACGTGCGGCGTAAAGGTGCAAATGCCCCGCAACCTTATTTCAATTTACATCTAATTACGTCCAATTATTTACAGCACCCCTAGGCTAAATCCAAGGGTAGCGTTATAACGATACCGTTATCTACCAAATAATTAGATTGCAGCGGCATCTGAAAGTGTGAAGCCTCTTCGAGATAAAAAGATATCACCTTGTTATGTTATCTCTTCCACCTTTACTGGATTGTTTTATTTCGATCAAGCAGGTACGAAGAGGACTAATCTTCAATAAATTATCGACATTGTTACCTGTAAATCCCTTTCAGCATTTTCTTCAGAGGAGGAAGGGGCGATGAACGGAACTCAAATAAGATCTCCCCAACCCCCCCCCCCCCAAAAAAAAAAATGAAAAAAATGATAATAATGATAATATAAGTAGAACATGAAAAGAAGTAATATCAAAAATGAAAATTTATGGAGGTTTAAGTAGGAACGTCTTTATAATAAGCTTTTGATTTACTGGACTGATAAAAATAGAATTAAACAAATATTCAATAGAGAAAAGAAAAAGAAATACATAACGAGAGAAATTGAGAGAAAAAATACAAGTATGTTTGTTTTAAATATTACAATATTATTGAACTAAAGAAGGAAACATAGGATGATAGAATGTCAGTAACTATTACGCCACCGTGCACATTTTGTCTTTTACAAACTTCATGATCATCATCAGCAGCATCATCTACTCATCATCATTATCATCATCATCAGCAGCAGCAGCAGCAGCAGCAGCATTATCATCATCATCAGCATCATCATCATCATCATCATCATCATCATCACCATCATCATTAGCATCAGCATCATCATCTTCCCATCATCATTATCATCACCATCATCATCACCATCATCTTTACCATCAGCATCATCATCACCATCATCATTATCATCATCATTACCATCATCATCATCATCACTATCATGATTATCATCAACATCATTACTACCATCATCATCATCGTCACCATCACCATCACCATCATCATCATTATCATCACCATCACCATCATCATCATATACTTATCATCACCATTATTATAATATAATTATCATCACCAATTCACCATCATTATCATCATCATCATCACCATCATCATCGTCATCATCATCATTACGATCATCATCATCATCACCATCACCGTTCATCATCATCATCATCACTATCATCATCAGCAGCATCATCATCATCACCATCATCTACATCATCATCAGCAGCAGCAGCATCAGCATCATCATCACCATCATCTACATCATCATCAGCAGCATCAGCATCAGCATCAATATCATCACTATCATCATCAGCAGCATCATCATCATCACCATCATCTACATCATCATCAGCAGCAGCAGCATCAGCATCATCATCACCATCATCTACATCATTATCACCAGCATCACCATCATCACTGTCATCAAGTACGGATATAGCTGAGATGAAATATACAATACAGAGAGGATTAAAATAGAAAGAAATGATGATGAATTATAAATTGCTATAAGATACGGTATTCCAGTCCGCTCCTCTTGTGTATTGTGAAAAACCTTGCAATATAAAGGAAATACATCGATAATTCAGCATTATTTTCGCATTAGTTAGAACTAAGAGGAACCTAAATGCATTATTTGCTAATCGCGGAGAAGGAAATGAAGTTATGATGCAAGACGCGAACAGCAGTTACTAAAATGCCCCAAGATAAATAGGCGTATAGCCTAAGATTATTGAGTTATATGCGATATAGAGAGGGGACGAGTACTTTTCTCGAATCGTTGCTTGGCATTTACAATGATTTAGAACTGCCACAAATTCAAATGCTAAATTAATAATTTAAATAACAATAAATGAACAAATGAATGAATAAATAAATTAATTAATTAATAAATAAATAACTGAGTACTTTTAAGTAAGTACTTTTTCATTTTCGCCTATGCATTCACTTTATAATTTCATTTTTGTCTGATGTTTCAGTTTTAGTTTTAACAAAACTTATAATTTCATTTTATTCAACCATTGGCCTAAGAGAGAGGATGTTCCAGCAAATTTAATTGGGTATTGATCTCACATTTCTACTCTAGTAATTCTAAAAACACGATCACAAAAACTTTTAAGGAATCAACGCAAGAGAAATTATAATATTCTATTGTAATGCAATATAAGAAGCCATACTTGGATCATGACATTATATCACATTCGAACATTTTAGTAGATGACGTATAAAAAGGCTTCTAAAACTGTTTGAAGTTGATTTTTTTTTGAAAAGTTTTTGCGATTATGAACTTTTCTCCCATCCTTCAAATTCAATTTTGCGTAATTATACTCATGATAATAAATCGTATTCAGGTCTCCATTCTAAAGTTAATTCATGTATTTTTATACTTGTCCCTAATATATATATATATATATATATATATATGTCCCTAAGTTTCAACACACATAAAATGTGGTTCATGTCGACATAATATTGTAGGCCAATATCATTTCATTAAAAATATATTTTAAAAATATCTAAGCTACAGAACTAACAAACAAAACAAAAACAAAAATAGAGATTTGTGGTCTTGAACTTGAAGGGCATGGTGATTGCGGGATAGGGACAGTCGATTCGGGTCTCCAGACACGAATATTATATGATGCAAAAAGATACGGAATCATCTTCGTGGCTAGCAGGAAGACCACGCTCCTCAGCTATCAATTTATAGCGGGCCGCCTGGGGGACTATCATCTCTCGCTCGGTACCCTCACACTACATTACACAATGAGATTTGAGAGTGAGATTAGCCCGCGGCCGAACCCTTTACCTCTCCTACCAATCGATCACCCCCCCCCCCCCCCCCCTCCTCCCCTCCTCCCCTCCTCCCTCTTCCTCCTCCTCCTCACCTGACGAGAGCGGTGAGATGGGTTTCTGGCGTGGTCCAGTTGATTAAAGATTATGTATCTCGTTAACATTTGTATTTCCGCACCATTATTCATTTGACTCCCATTTAGAGCCAACAAGGAGTCAATTCGTATCTTTTAAAGGGTCAAGCTCGCTATCCATAAGGACCGCTATTTATAAGGACCATTATTCATAAGGACCGCTAACCATAACGCGTGACTAAAATGAATAGCGGTCTTTTATAAATAGCGGTCCTTATATTATATCGAACAGACCCCCTTTTAACGCGGATTAAGGCCCTTCTAATTCCAAACAAAGGCAGTTTGATTACTTTTGTGGAGTTTGGGATATTTCATTTTTTTTAAATGAGGAAATAATACCAATGATGATACAAGGAAATGAGATTTTATACTCGTTCTACTAATCTTTCATTCTACTCCAACCCCCAAATCGTAGGAGAAGGAGGAGGATAGAGGAGGAGGGGGAAAGGAGAAGGCGGAGGAGGAGGTAGGGGAGGAGGAGGTAGGGGATGAGGAGGAGGAGGGGAGGAGAGAAGGAGGAGATTGAGGATATTATGATGATGATGCGTAACTATGGTGATGACGATGAGAAAGAAGACAATGATGACGATTAAGTTGATGGTGAGGAGGATGTAATCATTGGTCGCGATGGTGATGATGCCAGTTGGTATCACTTCGAAATTCTGAAAAAAATGATTACCTTTCTGTATAGGGGGCGAAACAAAATTATATATCCGAGTGTCCTCATCTTGGCTACTCAATGTGCGAAAGATATCTCCTTCCGCGACACGGCGTCACTTTGTACGCCAATCATCCTCATTGTGGCATCTCATTGGTTTAAAGAAAGTGGAGTTGGGCGTGGTTTAAGTTTCTCTTTCTTGGTCCTGTCTGACCAAAGTCATCACAATCGGCGTTACATAACATCTCTCGTGTTGGAATATCCAAACGCATCTTGGGTTTTTACCTGGCGGAAAATAGTTTCTTCCTGGACTTCAATCGAATTGTGATGCAGGAGGATGAGAGTGCTGGTGGATATGCCTATTTTAACACAACATTGACAATAACCAACCTGAGAACTTCTTCTCAGTTATTGAAATCACCGTTCAAGAATTTATGACTGCTTCTGAAAAGTTCTAACAGGGGAGAAAAGGAAACAGACTGAGCCAAGATCAACGGAAAGTCATCGAACACTACGTATCGAACACAAACTTCTTCAATCGTCGCGTCGTCTGCAGTAAATAGCTAAAGTCTAAAGACAGCTTCGCCGTTGTCAGCAGAGGGAGTGACCTTGATCTTGAGAAGTAAGTGTGATTATTGTAGCACCGACCGTTATGTTTTATTACCAAAGTTCAGTCAGTTTTTTTTAAATATACCTCCATATTGGTATGATGAAACATCTTTAATACATTCTGATTCTTTTTATTCCTCTATATCCTTAGTCATTAGTCGGATGTTATATTAGCCTCAGTAAATACTGATGATAATAAATATATGTTATTTTATATAATTATGACACCGCACCGGTATCTGTGGTACACTGTTTTGTAATACGCTTTCTGATAGTGCACAATTCTAATGTTTAACCCTCATTTAATACTTTGTCTAACCTTGGTCAATGGTCTTACTTTGCAATTGTATTGCTTCCCGTTCAGATTGAACTCAATCGAATATTTTTTTTTTAAAATACTAAACATCTTGGAAATACATAATTAACACATGTAGGTATGAGTGGTATAGAAATATATTTGCGGGAAACGAAATTATCATGCTGCATATGTCTTGGTGTGGTAAGAATAATAAAAAGATCATGAAAGCTGCAATTTTTGGAATGATAAGAGGAGACAAAGGACCTGATAAGATGGTTTTTCTATCGCAGGTGAGGCCAATCACTCGGACTAGACCAGCGAGGTGGGTCTAAAGATGGTCTATCTCATTCCTTTAGACCTACCGCCTACCAAATAAACCAATCGTCCTTGTCGCTTTCCACTCTCGCGTGCCTCCCTAATTCGACGTTTTATCTCACATCTTATCTTACTGTCATCATCGACTAGCTATGAGCCCCTCGTCTGTTTGGTAATTAGGAAATTGCTAGCTTAAAGAGAAGGTTGAGTTCTGGGAAAGGTGAAATATAATTTGTGAACTTTTTCATTTTTTTAATGTTAGTGTGGAAGAGCGTCGCAGGAAAAATGTCCCCTCAAAAGGATTTTTTGTAAAGCAGAATAATGCATTTATTGATAAATCAAATATAAAACATTCAAATAACAATAATGGTACATACTACATATTATGATTGATTTACATAAAAAGTGACAACTTAAATACACACACACATTATATATAATTGGAAACTTGAAAGTATGGAGGTAAGTAAAATAATCAAGATAAATGCAGAGGCCAACTATCATAAGCATGAATGCTTGAGTCGATAGCAGCCGGGAAAGGGGGGGGGGGGGGGAGTATAGGGCGCGAATAGCGTGTCACGTATGAAAGAAAGTAAAAGTAAAAGTAAAGAAAGAAAAAAAGAAGCAAGTTTTGGCTTTTCAAATGCCTTCATATTCGATATAATTATGACAGGTAAAAGCTAAACTAAAGGTTGTCGACTGCAACTTTCAGGCTGTATGTTTGTGTAGTCCCGTATACACATTCATTTGTTGTCTACCGTGTTTGTGACCTGCAGCAAAACTGGGCATATTTCCTATCATTTTGATGATTCCAAAACCTCACAGAAAGCTTCATGATCAACCTTATCCTATTGCTTCCACACGGTGTCTTTCGATAAAAGCAATCGTATGAACAGAACTCAACTTTATCTTTAAACATTCGGCTTTTTAAGCGACCAATGATTGGACAAAGGCGCTTGGGGGGGGGGGGGGGACGTTTCACACCCTATTCAGGGGTGAGAACGATTCTCGGGAATCACTATTTTGGTGTATTTCCCGAAGAGACAGAAAAGGGGAAAATAGAAGGACTCGTAAAAGCAGAAGTGAAAACAAACCATAACCCCCCCCAAAAAAAAAAAATACAAAAATACAAAATACAAAATACAAAATACAAAAATATACAAAAAAAGCAGAAATCCATCGAAATCCACAAGAAATATGACTTGTATGCCTTGCAAAAGCCTTAAATGGTTGATTTCTCACATGTTTGGATACTTTAGCGTACAGGAGCTATAGGTCTAGAGGGCGAAGGGGACAGTGGAATCTATTTGGTAAAATGAAATGATAAAAGAGCTATGAGAAAATCATTCCGAGAAAAAAATACAATGAAAGGGAACGAGAGGGATAAAGAGAAAGAGAGAGAGGGAACTACAAAGACAAAAGGGGAGATAAAAGCACGTTCCAAATTAAGACTTAATTAAGATTGATTATTAATCAATAAGCAGTCTTTTGAACATAAAGATTTATATATGAATCAACGCAAATGACGGATAGTTATTTCGCGTCTAAAACGATATGGGTTACATTAAAGAAGGGGGGCAGCAATGTTCGTTAGCATTTCTATTGAAGTATATACTCCAATCACCAAAAAGGCACTCACACTTCCAGTGTTTATCCTGTTTCATAAGTTGTAGGAAAAAAGAATACTAAGATTAAATAGTGAAAATGGAACAATTCGAAAGAGAGTCGTTCGATTTTCAGAATTCAACTTGATAATGCAAAGATAAGTAAAGTTTGAATAGTCACACAAGCATTTCATCCAATACTCGCGGACGGTCAATTATCCCTTGTTTTTAAAATATTTTTAAATGTCTGTCTCGAGAGAGGTTAAAAATATTCTCTTCATGTCTCTATTCATTAAAAATAAAAAATGGGGTGTGTCAATCGAGTCTAAACGTGAAAATAAAAGCCTGTGTTGACAGACTATACCGTTAATGAAATCGAATTCTCTTTACACAATTAACCGCTATACAGATTACGCAATGGATGTTATCGAGTCTAATAACAAACTAAAGGAGGATAAACGATAATGGAAATACTATCTGATGTCGAGCTCCCAAAGTGAAATAAACAAAATAAATGGGTGCGATACGAATCCATGATTTCATCGTAGGTAACTGAAGCGGGAACTGAAGTCGGAATTCGTGCAAGCTAAATTAGAGCAGGGTGCATAATTACTGCATGTTATAATTGACTGCATGAAAACATGGACCTACTACGATGAAATTGAGGGTCACAAACAAAGGCGAACGGGCATGATTTCGAGGGGCGGGCCGGGGTGCGGATGCTTGGCCGAATATCAATTTTTAAATTCTAAAATGTTGACACAGTGTCAAAGTATAATGTTGTCATAGAATATAATTGACGAAACGAAACATAAACTGTAAGGTTATTGGTGCCCGACTATTGCTACTAGTTAAAATTAAATTAACAAATCTCGGGGTGCAGCCCCCCCCCCCCCCCCCCCCCCGCGCACGCTCTCGATAGCCTTTGGCCACAAAGCCACAAAGTATCTATTATTAACCTTTCTTTTCATTAATGTTGTATCCATGGTTTTGAAGCATATTTCATCTATTTTGTTGGGGGGGGGGGGATGGGGGATAGAAAATGAAAGCGGTGTCAAGTAGGCTAATGGCAAAATGAGACCGCAACCAGTCATCCACATAATAATGGGATGTTGCAAAAATGAATTGATTAATAGCAAGCAACTCGTTACCATGCGATTCTATTGGTTGAAGTCGAATCGCATTTGCTCTTTAAAGTTGTGTTTCCTTGATTGAGAAACTCCACCTCCGTGAGAAGAAAAAAAAAGGTATAAAGTTTTACTTCATCACAGGGCTGTTCAAAACATAAATCATACATTTTGATAAACATATTTTTAAAGTTCTAAACCCAACATGCACCTTTCTCCAGCGAAAGTGTGATGTTTATAGGAATACATGTATAATCATTACATTTTTCATCTCGTTATCTTTTCCATTTGTATTTCTGTATATCAAAGACAGATATTTTAATACATTCTACAAAATCAATATTCGGTTACTCCGGCAAAAATTTCTCCGCAGCTATAAAATTTCATACAACTTTTGACCAAACACCTGTACCCTATACCTTTTACCCTAATCCATGTAAACCTAAAACTTGAATGCAATTACAACATATTAACCTTAATCCTGTACAATTAACGAAATACATCCCGAACAGAAGTCGGCACAAAAAGGTTATCCAACATCGTCTTCAGCCCATGAAACCGACAACCAAGGAGAATAACGGCACGTGAGACCGATAAAGTTCTCGAGCCGACTTTCCATTGAAGCAAAACTTTAGTCTTGCTGGCCTGTAATACAACCTTTTTTTTTCGGGGGGGGGGGTGATATTTACTAGACCCGACATTGATCAGACTATGTCCCTTTTCAACTTAAAAGCCTCTTATAGTTTCATGATAAAACTAGGGGTACAGGTTGAACATTTTAAAAACTTTATCTACAACTGAATTCAATAATCCCATTACATCCGAATCATTCAACCATCCAGCCCCCGGCCGCAAGAACAAGATCGTTCATTAAACTATCTACAATTTAATTAGAAAGTTCAAATTTGAAAATATAAAAGTAACATTCTGGATCTAATAAACAATACAAATCATTAATATAAGAAAACAGAACGCACTGTGGTGTTCCCTAGTATAGCTAACGCAATCGGTCGAATAAAATAGTGCAGTGACTTTGAATCCGGCCTCAAGGGCGAGCAGACATTCCTCGCAAAAATATGATTTTGACCGCGGGCAATGTAGGGCGTTTTTGCCTTCTAATCGCCGTATAATTTGCCGAGGTGAAGCGCGCTCTCTTTTTCAAGTTTCAGCGATTGGCCCGCGATGCTTCTCCGCTCCTCGTATCCCTTCGAATTTCCCTCCGAGCTAAAAATCAAGGTCAGAGAGAAAGAAAGAAAGAGAGAAGTGATGAGAAAAATTAGAAATAAAGGGAAAGAAACAAATTTGGCGGGAATTACACGCTACGTTTACGTTGTGCGAATGAAAACCATAAGAGGGTGGCGGGGTGATGGATACTTTCTGCAGGATGAGACTGATGATCAGATGATGCGTGGATAGGTAATCCAGAAATTAAAAATTGCTTGAGGAGATATCATGGTAGAACGTCATTATAAACCAATTTCTTTGCCGTCGTCAGTTAGGCCTATTGCATGAGGATACAACGGTTCAGTTTGTAGATTTTCTTTTACTTGGGATCCATGTGTTAAACACCTCTGCGACAAGGTAATTTCATGTTATTCAGTTGCTTAGTTTGTTAATTTTGGTTTAAAGTAAGAGAACAAGATGAGGATGGAAAGGGGGAAAATGAAAATAAGGGAGAGCGAATCATAAACGTGAACAGACGGCACGAGAGAATGATTTTGATGGAGGGAAAGAGACAGAGAGAGAGACAGAGAGAGAGACAGAGAGAGAGGGAGAAAAAGACCACACCCATCATCATCATCTAATCCGACCACCATCATCTTTATGGTTCAAATCGACATCACCATTTACACAACTTTAATTTTTAAAGATTCTCAAAGCGATGTTGCCATACAGCCTGAATTATTATCAAATAAGCAAAATTCATCAACCAATGCGTCCCTGTTCAATATCTCTTTCCTGGTCATGTTGCACTTTCTTTGTTTCTTTTACAGTTTATTTTTTGGGGGTGTATGTAATTCAATGAAATGTACGCGTTTGTATTTTTAAGGGGGTATGATGGTTTTATATACTAAATGAAGTCAAAGGATTTTAAGTATAATTATATTTGTCTTAATTCAAGCGACGACATGGAAAAGGAATAATGAAACTGTATGAGACGTGAGACTTCTCCGTTTGTCTGACACTAAAAATGGTTTTTCTCTTTTCTTTTCTTCAGTTTTGATCAAACTGGACCTATATGATTACCATGGAGGACACACTGTTGCTAAAGCAGGAGCATGATGATGATGTCGTTTTACAACAAAGTCCTCTCGATGAAGACCAGTTGAACGGTCTTTCAGAGTCAGAATGTCCTACAACTCCTGGCGTCAACTCTCAACTATGCTCTGCAGACGACACAAGCCCTCCTCACACGCAGCAACAACAACAGCAGCCACTTCACCATCAGCAACAGTATTCTAACGACCACCTCCACCACCATCACCATCAGCAACAGCAACAGATGCAATACGAGAACTGTCATGGTTATCAACACCAACAACAGCAGCATCGTCACCACCGGCAGCTCAGCTCGTCGTCAGCCGCCTCTATCGGCCAGCATCACGATCTCCAACACCACTCGTACTCTCACGGCGGCATCGTCTCTCTGCACGACCCAATGGCGGGAAATACAGGCCATAATATTTCCGGGATGCTCGCTTCGTCGTCTGCTTCGGAAGGTGAAGGCATCTCGGGAAGCGAGCGCAACGAGACAGGTTGCATCGCCCTCGGGAGCCCCGACGAATTCGCTTCGGAGGAGGAGAAAACACGGGAATTGCTACAGCGGAAGACTGCCAGCGACAGAGAGAGGTATTTGATATGATAAGATTGTCATATATGTTTCATATTGTTACGCCAATTTTTGTGTTACATCAATCTCCTGATTTATTGTTTTATTTTTTAATTCTTTAACAACATCATATAATTCTGGTATAAAATAAGAAGACAGTTAATTGAGGGTATTATACAAGGAACAATGAAATACAACACTGTAGTTGAGCGGATTACATAGAAAGCAGAGAAGTAGAGAGAGAGGAAAAGAGGTGGTATGGAGAGAGAGAGAGAGAGAGAGAGAGAGGGAGAGAGAGAGAGAGAGAAAGAGAGGAATAGACTATTGCAAGATAGTATAAACCTAAATAGATTCCTCTTTCAACAACAACAACAACAACAATAACTACAACAACAACTACAACTGCAACTCCAAATAGCCTTCGTTCTTCATAAACCTTTCCTCTTAATGTTCAAGCTGCGCCAAAATTAATAGAAATTAAAAACTATATATAAAGTGTATTGAGAACCCCTCCCCCTCCTCTCTTCCCCCTCCTCTCTTCCCCTCCCCTCATATCGGCACAATCTTTTAATGGAAGCACTTCAGCGTTATCTCGCCTCAGCAATGCTCTTCATTGGCCATCAATTTGAAACTCGTGCCTAATTAGATGGTAGCCCCCTCGTGATAGATCTTAATCGTCGACATGGAACAAGGATGTCGCGATTTAGTTGTTATAACGAGACAGTTCAAATTTTGACGGTAAAAAAGTTTCATAGATGGAGTCCATGTACCATATATCACAAAAATCGTGACCAATCGTAAAACAAGATTCTTAGTGGAATATAATATTGTTTATTACTTTTAACGTCAAATTATTACCGAATAATCAATATATTTTGTAATGCGTTATTTGCGACTGGATTTAGTATTATTTATGTGGAAGCAAAGTAGAAACGTATAGATTTAATATTCCTGAAAAATGAAACAACATATGTATTATATTAATGTCAGTTATGCCAATGATTTAACATAGGTTGATAAAACACAGTCGCAGGTATCATCTCGAGGGCGAAGAACAATATCCTATTGTAGCTCCCACAAAAATCGTGATCGACAAGACTATTGAAATTGCCTATATAGGTTAATTTTTTCGAGAGACTTTGCGATCTCCTTACCGAGATATGTCAGGGACGACGAATTCTCGGGGGTGGGGTGGGGGCTAGAGCGTTGTGCTAATGAGTTTGGAATAATATGTGTACTTTGGTGTTGCAAGAATCTTTGATCAATACTTTCCCACCCCATCTTTAAGAGGCTGCCATGTCTCACAACAGAATAACATTAATGTTGAGATACATAAGCCTCAGATCTCGGTGGAAATAAGTGAATGGCGTTGCAGAGTCGGCCGTCACGTGATGATGAAAAGGATGATTGTGAAAACGAACCGACGCCACTGTGTTATTCATACAGTTTTCAAATTTAAAAGGTGATAGACTGTTAGTAGGTCTATAAATATATGATATCAAATTGAGAATAAAAATCTCATCATTATTTCCTCTCTTTCTCTCGCTATTGATCCCACCAATCCAGGTCGCGCATGCGTGACATGAACAACGCTTTCGAGACTCTTCGCATCAAGCTAGCCCATCGCAAACAGCCGGGCAAGAAGATGTCCAAGATCCAGGCACTCCGCTTCGCCATCGAGTACATCAACGATCTCGAAGAGACACTGACGATGACGACACGGCTGCCGACGACTGGAGGGGCGTACTACCACTGGGCGAGGGCCAGAGGGTTCATCTGGGCACGCGAAAAGGTACCCACACATTTTTGTCTTTTTGTTTTTTGGGGGGGAGAATCAATTATATCTGTTGGCATCTGAGACATTTTTATTTTTTAGGTCGCACTATATTTGAAAGAAATGCTTGGCAAAATGCTCATTTCATTATATGCGCCATCAAAATATACCAGATCCAGTAGCGGTCCCAGAGTTTGGACTGGGGGCTGAACCCCCCCTCAAATTTTTATTGAATTTTAAGCGAGGTAAATGTAGAAAATGAATACATCAACCTCCAAGCTGAGTTTAGGAATCCGAATGGAGTGTTTATTCATCCAAAGATGATGGAGTTTTTTATCCTTAAGATTCTCCAATTTCAAATCATCACTATCCCAAATAAATTTATCTTTATTAAAGATTCGTTACTTTGAAGGGTATCGCTCCGTCATCAGTTTACATCACCGAGCCTCGTTTAATTTTCAGGAGAAGAGACAATTTTGTTAAATCGTATATAGTTGTATATTTGGAAATCAAAAGCCTTTTAGAATGTTGCGCATAACCATTATTGTATTGATGTTATAGCCCATTAACTCCTCCTGTTTTGTCTTGCGTATCACAGGCAAAGATGCACGACTACAGCGGTGTTCAGCCCGGGATGGAGATGGCCCACGACCCGGCAACCAACGGCGGCATGGTAGGCACCGGCTCCATCGACTCGTACACAACATCCTTGCAACCTCTACAGCAACATCACCACCAGTCGCAGCAACATTTGCTTCAGCAACAACAGCAGCAGCAGCAACAACAACAGCAACCGCAACAAACAGCCGATCTCATGTTGGACTACATGCAGCAGAGCACTCAGTACCAACCCACTACGCCGCAGTGATGCCGTCATTTTGAAAACTTTGTGCAAAGAGATTTTATAAAGTGTTATGTTTGCCGTTTCAAGACTTTGAAATATAGGACATGATCCAAATCTACCTGCGAGACAATTATTTCTTCACTGAATTGAACTACATGTAGTAGATAATTCGACTTTAAATGACTTTGTTGTGCGTTTCAACGGTTGATGGTCTTCATTAGTTAGAAGAATAGAAGTTGACGTGCTCAGAGACTTTGCCTCTATTAATCTGCAGGATGTTTTCTTTGGGGGAAAATGCGCTTTCTTTGTTGCAGGGGAGGGGGTACAAAATGGGAGTGACCTGAATAGTACCTCTCTCCGGCACACCTCACAGGTATAAACCAACAAAATACCAAAGGCGCAAGTTTTGCAGAAGACATTTTTTTTTTTAATCAGTACATCACATAAACCCTTGCATATCTTTGTTTCTATTTAGAAATTGATAGAAAAGAGAAAAATCGACAAAGGTGAAATTTATTCGAAATGATCCACGTTTTAAAATGTGATCATACACATTTTATCCACCCCCAGCAAACATTTTGAGAAATGTAGATACACGTTTGTATATTTTATTGACGAACATTGTAAATAATATTTATTCTAGAATTAGATGTGATCTGACAAGTAAGATGTATGATAAGTATATTATTTAAACGTTATATTCTTCATCATGTCACTTAAAATCAGTTGGGATACTTGCGGTATACCAAACCATTACAAAGTTTAATATGATTATCCAAACATCCATGTCTTGGGCTGGGTGTCGGTATAAGATAAAGTCGTCGGCTGGGAGCCGTTCGTTATAAATATTCGTGATCGCAAAGAATTTCGAGGAAAAAACAAACAGCTAAAGGCAATGTCTCTTGTCATGTCCAGAGCTTATATATTTACAAAGGGTGACGACAGTGGAGGTCGCTTCTGATTGGTCAGTTATATCACGGAGCTTCGATAAGTTCACTCCCATAGAGATATTATTATAGGAGGGAACCGTTTGGACTTTGGAGCTCCATGATTGTTACAACTATTTCTTCCAAGACGCTATGGTTGTGGACCTTACTATAACGCTGTATATTTGTACCAGTAATCAGCAAATATGATATCTTTTGTATAATTAACGAAAGAGTTTTGGATTTTCTAAATTGCCCTTGAATTGACCTTCCAAAGTGCTCACGATTACGCTTTAGGTATACAAAATTTGAATAGATGGAATAGAGGATTAGAGGAAGAAAGAAAATCGAAAAATCAGTTAAACGGGCTGTCATCTTCTTTCCGCGGAAAAAATAAACATTGAATAGAAAGTCGTAACAATTACATGTTTACAAGTTTGATAAGCAAAATACAAGCATACAAACAAGTATGATCCAGAGTTACTAAATTCTTGCCAATCAAATGTTTCAAAAACCGTTTATTATAATGCTGAGGATAAAACCGAGCAAGCGTTTACGTTGGTTCATGTAAAAACGCTCACGTCATCATTCTATTTGTATAAATAAATATGTGACAAATTCGGTAGGAGCAATGGATTCATGTGCGATGAAATGTATAGAGTCAAGTAAATCAGTAAACAAAACAGTTACAGTTTATTTTTGCGATTGCCGTGACTCTTATCCTCCGTGTTGAAAGAGGAAGTTACATCATGACAATAAACAGTAATAAAATCCGTGATTTCTCATGTAACATAATTATGATTTATTAGATATTGAACTGTATTCGAGATATTGAGAGTTAAATTTCATTGAAGATAAGTGGCCAATGTATATGCGTTTGCTTTACAATTCGTTGTATACTTGAGATGAAGACGGTGCACATTTTGCGTGGAAGTTTGAAAAAAGTGACAAGAGGGTTATTTATTTTTTTATAAATAATAAGGACATTTACACATTTATAAAGTGCGCTATATCAATATAGGCCTAGAATATATTTGTTTAAATCTTATCACAAAATATCCGCTTAATATATTTTGTAAAATATATTAATCAGAAGTGTTCAATAATATTGAAGAAAACTGACCGGAAGGAAGCATGGAAGCTTTGATATTGTTTATACAGGGGTCACTTTCCGAGGGAACATGATGAAGATAATCGGAGGGGAGAAAGTAGTCCTTAAACTTCTGATCTCATTCATGATTAAGAGCTAGGTGATATCGACTAGAGCCTTGAAGACATCCCATGTCATCTGTCGCCTGAAAATGCTTATCTTTAAGATGGAAACCTACAGCGGTTTGACCGCAAATAAATACTCGACTCCATTATCTCACTTCAATGCTCAGTCTAGTAAATATCGTCGGGGGTTAGAAATCCGAATCGATTTGTCAAAATGGCGGATATCTTCCTAGTCATTATTTTTAACCTTAGAAAGTGATATCGATTTGAGCTATTTGGAAGAAAATGGTGAGGTGAGCCGAGGGTGAAGATTAGGGATCAGAGGTAATTGTAAGCAGGAGAAAGAGAGAAGGGGAGAAGAGAGGGTGAGGGAGAGGGGGAGGATGGAGAAGGACAGAGAGAGAGAGAGAGAGAGAGAAGGGGGAGGGAGTGGAATGTGGATAATAAAAAGAGAATGAGAGAATGAGAAAATGAGTGAGGTTTTGTGGTCTAGTGGATATGTCACCGGACTGTGGATGGGGTGATTCGCAATTCGCGGCATTTGGCAAGAAATTATTCTCCAACTACCATTCTCCACTAAGGTAGATTATAGAGTACCTGGTAGAGATTTATTTCTTTAATGCTTTGAGCGCCTTAGGACAGCTGGGCTAAAGCCAAAGTAAAATTATTCATTCGCTAAAATTGAAAAAGAGGCATGAGACCATATTGAGACAGATTTTGTTTTACTTTAATGCACTATTCTGATTTTCACGTGACAAACTTTCTAAACTTTTGTTGCGCGCGCATCCTAACTATTGTTGACGTAGATGCAAACGCGATACATGGTTTACAATGCGCATGCGCGCAGCTCTGGTAACCACGAACTGCCCATAATATACAGTTTTTATGACAATCTCTGTTCATATCTCTTTCTTGATATTTTGATTCAGGAGTTTTGAGCTGTTTTCGGAAATTCTGTCGGAATTCTTTTGTTAATTTTCAAAATGGGTTCTGTTAAGTCCAGACCCCGATCTTTACCTTTCGAGGGGGAAGTTGAAGATCATACTGAGACCACAAAGACCTACTGTTGGACAGGAATCAGAAAATTATTCTCCAAGAGCAAGATGGTAAGGACAAATATTGGGAGAATCTTCCCCATTTTAATTTTATAGAATTGTTGACGTATCTTCAGTTTGATGGTCTAGAAAATAAGCAGTTCTTCCTCTTTCCTTCCTATCTGGGGTCTATCATGCCCTATCATGTTTATCAATATACATGTAATTCTTCTTAATACACCGTTGATTACCGATTTCGATTAGGGTTTGAATTCAATCTGTATCTTTTTGACAGTCGAGCAAAAAACATATTAATACATCAACATACAAAAAAAATGTACTTTGTTTTGGAAAAATTATCAAGCAGAATTACGAATGCGACCGGCGATTATTACTAGTCTATATCTGAAAAAGGTGATTTAGACAAAAATGGAATTTGAGAGGTTTTCTTTAAAGTAGTTTGTAACATTAAATTTTAAATTTGATTTCGTAAAGAGAGAGAGAGAGAGAGACAGACAGAGAGAGGAAGTAGGTCTACAGAGAAAGGCGGGGCGGGAAGAGAGGAAGGGAGAGAGAGGGAGAGAGAGAGAGGGGAGAAGGGGTGGAGAGAAAGAGAGAGAGAGAGAGAGAGAGATAGAGAGAGGGAGAGAGAGAGATATTGGGGGGGGGGGTGAGGGGTAGATGAGATACGTCAAGGTTTAGACCTGATGATTTTTATATTTTTGTTATTTGTTTGTTTCTTTTCTGCGCCATTAAACATTGGGATCAAAGGACTACCAGAAGTTTTTATCAGAGACGACCAAGCAAAAGAGAGACAACATTAACATAAATTGCAAATAAATCGAATATAGCCCCGATTTATAATAATCATGATTAATAACATTTTATGGTATTTATCTAATAGTCCAAATCTATGGCAATGCACGTGATGGAAGACGAAATGGACAGTGACGACGATACCGATAGCGTCATCCTTGTCGATGACTCCAGCAAGCCATTTGCTGCTTCCCTCCATTCAGTCACTGCCCTCGAGCCATGGGCACTTCAGACATCTTGGTCTGCCCCTGCTGTACTTGGGCAAGATCGCCACCAGGCCATGATGCCATCAGCAGCACAGAGCAAGGTCGAGGACGAGCTGCCCTCTACGTCCTATTCAAAGGACGTAAGGGTATCCTCCCAAAGTTTTCTGTTCTACCGTAAGTTGCACAATGGACATGTCTTTTTATTTTTTCTTCATTTTTGTAATCAATTTGAAGAGAATCGTCAGAAATTACCTGTTAACTAAACGTCTACATAAATTGGAGGCTTATATTTGGTTTAAACAACACACTTTTGTCGGGGGGGGGGGGGGGTAGAATATCGTGTATACATTAATTATTATTAATGTAATATATAGGTGACTGAAATTGAACATACTTCTTCATGATTCATGTTATTGTTTTACCAAGTATCTTTGAAAACCGAAGGCACTTTGAGGTAAAACGTATAATTTTGGACGATAAGATAAAAACATAATAAAATAAGCTTGCTGGTTAGGTTTTAAAAATATTTAAGTAGATGGGAGAGAAGCACAAATATACAGAGGGAAGAGTAATGACGAAGGGATGGACAAATAGATACCTTGAGAGGAAAAACGCTTATTTGAAATTGAATTTTCGATTTGACTCTTATAGATCGATACATCAACGATGAGGAGAAGGAAGACGAGTCGGTGACATCCGACATCGAGTGCAGGGATGAGGTTGGTGATGATGCCGATGTCGAATCAAACGCTGACGATACGACCCCAGTCCCTGGCCTTGTGTATTCTGAGGATGAATGTAAGTATTTTGTTGGAAAACGGTTCAAGAGACGAGGAAAATAATAGTAATAATAACTTACTTCTACTAAGAAAAAAGAGGACTAGAAAAAATAACTTTTGACAGTATCCTATGCTTTTAGTTTGTTTAGAATATGGAGATAGCATTGACAGAAAGACAAAAAATTGAATGCGAAAACTAGGAAAGATAAAATAGGATGTAGATAAATGGCGGAGATAATTAAGGGAGCGAGAGAGAGAGAGAGAGAGAGGGGGGGGGGAGAGAGAGAGAGAGAGAGAGAGAAAGAGAAAGTATATATTTTTTGTTTCTTTGAGTTCGATTATTCTAGCTTATCAATTATTTTGATGAGCAAAAGATATAATATCTACACTACATTTTTAAATAGTCTCATGGTCATAGATAGTTGATTCTATTTCGTGTTTCTTCTTTGATGAAAAGACAC